AGAGAGCCCTAAGACCGGCAGTGTTGTACGGGTCCTAGGTATGGGGACACAAAGCAAATGAGCTCGCGATGAGGACCGAAGAAATGTCCCTGAGCGATGTCCTTGGCATCGCCTCGGCAGCATTAAGTCTCACCTTTGTTATTACAATTAAGGCACTAGCGTAGGGAAACGTTGTAAATTTTATTAGGTTAAGGTATCTTTCCCTTCTAATTTGGAGGGAGGAGGTCCAAGGAACGGCGTATGGAGTTCCGATGGTGGTCGTTCCGGGGATAGTGGGTGTGCTTATCACAAAGTGGACAGTTTGTGTATGCCAAAAGGCCGGAACCCAGGCTAAAATGCCAACCAATCATGGTAGGACCCAGTAAAAAAGGTATTTCTTCGAGTTGTTCAACCTCAAATCGTATTTATTTATGTTTTGTTTGTGAGTAACGGGTGTATCGACTTGTTTACCAAATTTTGCTTAATTTAGTTTGAAAATGAAAGTTGAGGAATTCAATAATATTATATTAAATGACATGTTCCAAGGCATTCCTGGGACAAGATATTCTTCGCCCTAACAGACCATAAATTTGTAAGGCTGTTTAGAAGTCCCAAAAATCTTTGTAGATAGTTGGTGGAGCTGGTTTTTTATGATTTATTACATATACATTCGTTATGGATCCTACACAAGAATCAGCCTTGTCATTTCGTCTAACGCACACTATTACTGGAGGTTTGCGATCACTACATCCAAATTCCTATTCTGCGCTGCTCCTAGTAATTGCTAAACGTTCATGCCTGTCCAAGTTCTGATGTTACGTAGCAATGATGTTGTTCTTCAGCCTAATCCTCTCCGGCCTTCTATCTTTCCTTCAATTATTAGTATTAGCAAGTCGTATTTGTCATTCCTGATTATGTGGCCTAAGTATGAGGTCTTTCTTTTCTTAATCGTTGTTATTAGTTACAAGTTCTCTATTTATGGTGCTCATTACTGCTTGATTGGTTATGTGTTGTGTTCATGGTATTCTGATCATTCTGCGAGCGGGCCACATTTCAAAGGCTTCCAGTCGTCTCATGGTATTTAATTTTAGTGTACACACTTCAACTCCACATAGAAGAACAGAGCAAACGTAGCATTTAATAATTCTGATTCGAATGTCTAAGCTTAATTTACGATTACAGATAATTTGCTTCGATTTGTTGTACATGTTCCTAGGTCTGTTCTATTCGTATTTTATTTCTACATATGGAACCCACTGATCATTTAGTACTACTCGTATTCTTGTATCAAGTATTCTTATTCGTATTCAAGTATCTAAACTTGTGGATTTGTTCTATTTGGGTGTTATTTAGATACATGTGGCAGTTTTTACATTTAACATGCATCGTCAGTACCATTGCCTGACTTGCATTATTAACTCTATCCAGTATGTTTTGCAAAACTTTTATAGTTTCTGCAATTAGTACGATATTGTCTGCATACCTAATGTTGTTAATGTATTTACCGTTTATTTTTATAGCAATTTTGACATCGTCTAGTGCTTATTTGAATATGCATTCATAGTATTAGTTGAAAAGCAATGGAGACATGACGCAGCCCTGTCGGACACCTCTTTGAATGTCGACGCCTTTAGTGCTATTGCTGAAATATTTGAAGGTTGCTTCTTGGTTCCAATAAAGATTTTGAATTATGCGGAGATGGGAATGATCTTTTCTCTTTAACTTCATTTTCTGCAATTGAGTCAAAAGTTTTCCATGTTGCACCCCATCAAAAGCGTCTTGATAATCAATGAAGCATAGATATATTTTTTCTGGTGATCGAAGAATTTCTGAATTAGGGCTTGAGTTGTAAAGAGAGTCCTCCATCTCTCGTCCCTATGGCCTTTCTAAATCCAAATTGAGAGTCACTTATGTCTAGTTTACATTTTCTGCAGATACTATTCTGTATGATCTTCAAGAATATTTTTAGAAAGTCTCATCACGCTAATGAACCTGAATTCGTCACATTTTCGGGAGTTAGCTTTTTTAGGTATAGCTATAAATTCTGATTTAAGCCATTCCTTTGGTATTACGCCAATTTAATAGATGACGGGTCTCTAAAGAGATGTGTTCATAGTTTTATGTTGTTATCGTCTAATAGTTTTAATACATGTCTTTGTATTTCGCAAGGGCCGTAAGTCGTCCTATTTTTTGCATACTGTATCACATGTTTAACTTCAATGTCTAGGACTGGGGTTCTGTAATTATTATTCCTTTGTTATCAGTTAGGATGGATATCTTTTGTTTTCTGTTATTGTAGAGACTCCTTTAATTGTTTTTTTGGAGAGTGAATGTGTCATGTTTTCTGTCTAGATCTATTTCTTCACACATTTCTCATTTATTCATTTTGCCTTCGCTTCTTTGATTTTTCCATCGATCGTTTTTTGGAGTTTTTTGTATAATTGTGCATTGTTTTTGTGTTTTTTTCTCTCTTCCATACGTTCCAAAATGTCTTCCATCATCCATGATTTCAGTTTCTTACTGCCCTCACTCCTTATTTCTTCTCTTTGTACTCCATCAATCTTATTTCTTATGGTCTGCCATGCATCTTCCATTCCCTCATCTCCTGCTTTTATTGTTTCTTTCAGTTCTTCGAAATTATTAATTTCATTTCTTACAACCTTTTGCTCGTTGTCTTGAGGTGACCTCCAGGTATAGATTCGTCTGGGAAGTAGTTTGATCCAGGCGTGTAGTATCACATCTTCTTCTTGACAAAATTGTATTAGTCGGTAGTTTCTGTCATTGTCGTCTAGTATTATAACAGTTTATATATCATATGATATTTAAGCTGTGGTATTATGTTGATATGGTGTTTCCTTAGGCTTCGTGTGATGACCGTTATTCCGGTATATAATTATTCTTTTTCATTCTGTCGCTTGTACGACGTTGAGTATCGTGTTTTTAGATTTAAGTTGTATTAGTGTCATTCTTGCGGAATAAGAGGTGAAGTTTTCTATTGATTTGTCAATGTTCTTGTGTATGATAAAGGCGACGCCATATTGTTGGGGACAGTTCCCCTGCTTGAAAATATTTATAAGTAGATAATGTGGTCATCAATTTCTATTTTTCCTGTACCGGGCCATCCTACAGTCGGCTACTTTACCCTACAATACAATAGATAAACAACCCTCACAATTGGACTTTAACGAGCTCGTCTGTTTAACACGACCTCCCAGACGAATGGGTTTCTTCTTTCCAACCGCAGACCTATTTGAACATTTCCAATTTAGAATTATATATTTATATTTTATTATTTTTTCCATCTCTTTCACCCAAGTTATTGTTTTATAAAGTTTAGGTACACTCTACATTATATATTTTGTGATTATCTTCGTTGATAAATTTCTACAGAAAATATTGTACCTCAGGGAATACGGAACCTATACGGGTCGATTCCTCTTTTGTGTCTCGAATAAAGATCTCTATTGCTGTTCTATTTTACCTGTAACTATCAAGGGCTTCACTGGTTCTCTCTCGATGAATTCTTCCGGGAAACTTAAGCCATCCAAATACGTTGTTTGTATACTTTCAGTAGCATCCATTTTCTACGTGAATATTAAATATTAAAACGTTTACGCATAGCAAAGAGTGTGCACCATTTAACGGCCCAAAACCCTCATAAAATAATTATCTATTGTGCAATTTTAACAAACTTCGGTTGGATTTTATTTCAATTTGGGTGTAATTTTAGTTTTAGCTGAAATCACCCGATAATGCTAAAGAAAAGCAATGTGAACAACAACTTCGGGTGGATGACCTGGCAAGAGAACGGGCACCCCCTTGCTCTTGCCTCTCATTCATTCTCAACCAACTCCATTCTTCAACCAACTGTACCTTGCACTGAAAGCATGTAAAAACTGAGATTTAACTATATTATTAGGAGACTTTAACGCAAAAATCGGAAGGGGTCAATGCGGGGGGACAGTTGGAAAGTATGGATTAGGTTCGCAAAATGAACGCGGCAACCGCTTGATAAACTTTTTGCGTGGAACATAGTTTCCACATCACCAACCCTTTCTTACAACTTCCAGCAAGAAGATTGTATACATGGAAATCAAACACCGATTGCGTCAAAAGGGGGTAAGAAACCAGATCGACTAGATCATGATCAAGAATATGTTTAAAAACAGTATAGGCGCAGTCCAAACGTATCCAGGTGCAGATCCGAGTAACTACATACACATTACACCTTAAGATCAAGAGACAAACCCAATTCAGTAGTGTCGCGATTGGACATGAGGCTGCTTAATGCTCCGGAAATCCGAGACAACGTTGGTTTAAAGATCAACTTCGAGAACATGCCAGACACTGAGACAGTATGAAGCAGTGCACGAAATGAACTGACGAAAGCTTGGATCACCAACCAGATCTTAGATCTGATGGAATTACATCGGAATTTAATCAACAATAAACCCGAGTATTTATACCTTAGTGGGCGAATTAGAAAAGAAAGAAAAGAGGCAAAGAATACACCTGGTTTTCAAAGAAGTACGATGAGAGTGAGAGTCTAGATGCGAAACACGACATTTTGAAACTACACAATACAATCAAAGATGCTGCTGAGACTAAAAAATGTAATCGGTCCGCGGCATTTCTATTAAACAGGGCGACAATGGCAACATATCTTAGACCATAACGAAAAGTTGGGAGAGTGGAGGAAGTATGTCGAAAAACGTTTCACTAGCGACCGTCAGCCCGACTGTGAGGACCCCGAAATAACGCACGCGGAGGTGGCACACTAGAAGGGGAGAAAAGGGCCAAAAATGCTGAGCTTGCAGCAAACCTGAGTACAAGCAACCAACAGATTCAGCAAGTCTCCAGTTTCTGATAGTTGAGATGCTTATTGAACAGTATGTGGAATAACACGCAGGAAACAAGGTCCCGCATTGAGCAGGCTTGGGCGGGATTTAGTAACTGAAAATGAAGTAGGTTCTCACATATCGAGACTTGTAAAAACCCCTACGTATTTAATTACTACGGTGCTACGTATTTCCAATTCAGTCCTATGGAATGGAAGGGTGGACTTTAACAAAGGCAATGTGTGGACGCCGAATTAAAGGGTTCGAGGTGTGGTGCTGCCGTCGCTTGGTACGAATATCATGGGTAGACTGATTCCGAGACACCGAGATGCTTGCCGTCTCCGGAACCAACTAGAAGTCATGTTCACCATCAAGAAACGCAAGTTGCAATATTTTGCTCACGGCATGAGAGGGAAATTACCGTATCTTGCCGAATATCATGCAAGGTAAAATCCAAGGACATACATCCACACGTCCTAGCTGAAAAACTTTAGACAGAAACTTGTTTCGTGCCGCTTCTGAAAAAATAAAAGTCATGATGATGATGACCGACATCCCAAGAGGAGATGGCACGTGAAGAAGAAGAATTTTGGTGACTCACTTGCAACCATAATTAGTATTTTTTAACGTTTCCTGTCATGGCTTTCTTTATAAGGCGAAACGAACTCTCAACAGACATGTGAAATTCTGCTACAGAATTATCAATATGCAATATTAACATTACTCCAACGGTAAGTTCCGATTTTTTTAAGAAAATAATTAATACGTTATACTAATTCGAAAGAAATTTGTCAAAATCGGTCAATAAATATGAATGTTATGAGGGTCTCACACTATAATTTCAACATTTACTAAATTGACCGACAAGCACCCAAAGTTAAACTTTATACCAAAAGTACTCACCCCGATTAACTTCAGCTTATCTATGAAGCACTTAACGTTGTTTACACAAATTTCCTCCATAAAATCTGCGAAATTGTCTCCATTCAAACTGTGTATTGTAGCGTTTCCAGGAAAAAATAAACTGGGGAATTCGAGGGAATCTCCGTTGGAATGTTGAGAACATTTTTGGATTTTTTGGTGGTTTAAAAAAGATGTTGTGAAACCGTTCTTTGACCGCAATTCCTCGAAACTTAACGTGTCTTCAAATATGTCGCTAAGTTTACCAAACTGGGTTAATGGAATCTGATTGATCACTGAATTAGCCACTGTTACAGTTTCTGCTTCTAACACCTTCTCAAAAACTATGTTTCCAAAAGTTTCGACTTTTGCATCAATTGTTTTGGCAAAACTTTGCGCAGCAACACCGTTAACAATTGGTACAGTAAATTCCCCAACTGTTAAATTATGAAAAACCTTTTGGTCCGAAATCGTGTCCAACTGATTCTTTCTGAAATTAGTTTTGCGTTTAAAATAAAATACTTGAACGGTTTAAGCCACTCACTGGACTAAATTGCTCAAAAGACCCTCCATTGCATCAGAATCCCATCTATTAACTGTTAAATTGTTTTCTATCTCAACAGCTCCATTAAAGACTATAGTGTTGAATTTTAGTTCGGTCAAATTCTCGTTAAACCGTTGGTTTAATTGCTCTAATTCATCCAGCACTTTTTTCCCATCATTTAAAAAGCTGTCGTTGCCATCAGAAACGCTTGCCTTCTTCATGCTGGGTACATGTTGAGCAAGGCTTGCCGGTTGAGCGTTTCTCCCACTTTCCATCATAAGCTGCAATGTAACCATTTTTGATGGTCATCAAAATCACACACAATAAGTTTTGGAAAAACCCAAACAATTTTTTTGTACCTCTATTTTCATTTTCTGTTCTTTATAGAAATTAAGGTCATTTTTCGTGGGATGCTCATTCTTTTTTAGACCAGCCGCTACCGAAAATATCACTGGCGTTTGGTCTTCCGTAGGTACAATCAGCGAGAGGTGATTGCCTATGGCAATATATGAAGCTCCTGGAATTTGAAAATTGATAGCAAACAACGATCTTGTTTTTTTGCGTAATTACCCATTATCCCTCTCGAAGGACTTAATTCGGCAAGACACGAGAGGTTGATTTGGACATCATCAATTAAAGTGCATGAAACGTCAGTATGTTCTTCAAACCTGCAATAGATCGCAACTCTTATAAAAACTCTGTTTGACAGGAAAAATTGTGTAAATATACCGATTTCCGTTGAATGTAATGGCATCAACATCAAACGAACTATGTGTTGAATGGTTCAGTTTTCTCTGCAGCATCAAAACCGTTTCATCTCTATAAGTGTTTATGGAGATGGGCAACCAAAACTCCAATCCTTCGAAATTCGAGTTTACAACATTGCGCTCGACTAGACCATGTTTGGTAATCTCGAGAATACTGGCGCTCAGGCCATTGAAAGCCACGAAATATCTAAAGCCATTCTCGAAACATACTACTTGGTCCACTTCGGGTGCTGCTAAGTTCTTAAGCAGAACAAAAGCCTGGTCGATAAAATGGTAGATGGCTAGAGAGTTGGAAGCTGGCTGAGCAAGTGACAAATGCAAATGATTGTCTACAGAGGAAAGGCACATTGAAGGCGAGGAATCTGGTAGATTAATTGATTGGTGATACCTGAAAATTGGGTGGTCTAAATTGATTATATACAGGGTGAAAATTGGCGTCAACTCTACCGGGGAGCATTGGGGATTACTTTCATAAGGGGCATAGTTCGGGAAAATTGTTTAATAACTGGTTCAAGCTTATTTTCCGAAGAAATTAGTTCTTAAAGATATAATTTTAATGTAAGACGCAAATGTTTACTGCGGCTGATACGCCCAGTGCTGACCTATGCATCGCCTGCCTAGTCTACGGCTAGCATCACGCAGAAACATAAGTTGCTAGCTTAGCAAAACAAGGTCTTGAGGATAGCAGCAAATGCTCCCTGCGATGTCAGAAACACCACACTGAGACGGAGCCTGAAGATAGAGGATCTACTGGACCAAATCAGGAATAATCAGTGTAGCAAGAATTCCATCGTAAGAGCTTCTTGCATTAAAAATTTCGAGGTGACCGCAACCCCTCCTTGCGGACACAGCGTAAAAAGAAAAAGTGTGCCAAAAGCGAAGACCAGTTCCTGGACCACAGACTAAATATAAGTTCGTTTAGGAAGCAACAGAGGACGATTAGGTTAGGTTAAGATTAGGATTAGGTTAATGTATATTAAGTAGTAAATGATGTTGATGGCGACTACCGTCACATCAGCAATAAAATCAGCTTACGAATCCGCATGCCCTCTGAAGTCGAAGAGGCAAACGGGGACGTCCAAATGGTGGAACCCGGGACTCTCAACGATGAGGAAGCTATTTAACAGGGCCAAACGAAACGGGGCCCTCTGGGGTAAATACAAGACATCCCTGACTACATATGGCAACGCCATCAAAAAAGAA